ATTACCACTCGCTGGTAATAGCACAGTTGGCACAGAAATGGAATTTTGCATTATCTTTCATCATTTCACATAGGCCCATATAGGTCAGGGTGGACAGCAGAAATGAGAAGGACCTCCATGGAGACAGAAGTGCTTTTACCAAGCCTTTAGATCCCTGTTGATAAGAACAACCAACAACCTTAATGTCCTGTTGCTTCCTTTCAGCCCAGTCAGTTTCCTCTCATCCGAGTCCAAACAATTCATCTATGTCCGTTATAAGCAAATGATCCAGCATCAGCCATCCCCTTTTTAATACCCTTGAAATCCTCCCTTATAATAAACTTCAGCCTCAGGCCGTGAAGGATTGTGTTTTTTCCTCTTTTAGAGCTTGTACAATGTGTGCACTTTTGCAGAGCAAGACACTCTATGTCAACTCCAAGCTGTAACTAAGGACTTAGTAAACAAAACAGTCAGGGCTGCTTAACAAAGCCAAGTGCCAAAAACACTGAAAAATCGCTATCTTGATCAAACCACACAATCCTGAGTGAATGGAAAATTTTAATGATTTGGGTTTTGTGAGCTGATCTTCAATTTGGCGGAATGTCCAATTATTTACCAAACAACTTGAAAAACAACTAGAAAAAACAACTTGAATAAAATAAATATTCTCAAACTCCCCCACCATCCTTCTGAAAGTGAGGCTGAGAATTGGAACCAACAAATTTTTACCCCTCCCCCCAATATGTTGAATTTCCACTTCCAGTGCCTCAGAATGTGACCATCTTTGGAGACAGGGCCTTTGACGAGGTCAGGAAGGGTAAAATGAGGTCACACAGGAGGGCCCAATCAGGATGACTGGTGTCTTTATAAGAAAAGGAGACTGGGATCAAAGAACACACAGAGCGGGTATGTGAAGTCAGAAGAGATTGGTCATCTACAAGCCAAAGAAAGAAACCAATCCTACTGACATCCTGATCTCAGACTTCTCATGGTACTGTTATCATTTATGCCACCCAATCCAGTCTGCCACTCTTGGTTACAGCTGCTCTAGACACTTACACGCTTTGTGTGTGCTGGCTTGGATTTACACATATGGTCAGCTCTAGGGTCCCTGAGAGCTCTGAGCCACGGGATCCTGGACACTGTGAGCACCCTTTGGTGTTTGTCAAAAATGAATGGATGAATGTAGAAATGGAATCATGTCACCTTGAACGCCTATGCTTAATTCATCAAGGACAGACAGGTGAGAAGGAAGAGGCCAGCTCATTTATCTTTCAGCCTCCTCTTTCCTTTCCCCAGTATTTCTGTTACAGATCTTGTCTTGTCCACAATGGGGAAACAATGCTTCTATCTGTTGCTTTCAAACATGTTCTGCAATCACTTCTCGGACTTTTGGCTAAGATCAAATGTAGTATCAAACATGTTCTGCATTCTCCTACAATTAGGTAACCTGTCCCCAGAAGTCAAGAAGTGATCTTAGTGTCTTCTACATAGCCTTACAGAATGCCCAGATAGTGAAGGGAATTTAAGAGACAACATCTGAGGCCTAAGGAAATCAACCACCTAGAGAACTGAGCTGCAGAAAGGATAAAAAATATTTCCGAGCTCTTTGAGGCTGAGCTTGTCCGCTCTGTCTTCTCTTTACGGAGCTGGAAACTTACTTCAACTCTTCCAAATTGGCAGGGTCTCGGTTACAAATTCCTCTCGGAGCATTCTTCCATTCTTACTCTGCATTGCAGATACTTATGAATGAGACTGCGGGAGACAAGAGGGCAGAACCAACATCGTTTGATCTTTGTGTGTAGGACTTAAGCCACAAAGCACTCAATGAGTCATTCTGTTGCTGTTGTTTTGTGTCTTTGGATTTTATTGTTGATTTTATTTGTTTGCACTAGGGATTGAACCCAGGGCCTTGCACATGCTAAGCAGGCACTCTACTATTAAAGGACATCCTCAGCCCTTGTGTTTTGTTTTTTAATGAATGGACAAACATCTCCGAAGTATGACATGTATTCAACTAATTATTAATCAAGTGCATCATCAATGCAGACACTGTCAAGCACGGAGATGGAGAAGTGTTGACAAGGAGCTTCAGACCAAGCAAAAGGGCCATAAATGAATGCTGTGATGTTACATAAAATAGGTGCAAAATACGGATGGGCACACGGCAAAACAAAAGGCTGTCCTACTCCAGAACAAGGACTTTCCCGTGGGCCCTTGCTCTTACCTTTCCCCCTAAGTATCCTAGTTATCCTGCCATCTCACACACTGCTGTGACCCCTGATTATCACAAAGAGCAGGTACTCATCTCAGAATTTGTTATAAGTCCAGCTGGACTGAACTGTAAAAGCCAGGCTTCAGTTTTCAGCTCCTTGAGCAAATCACTTCCCAGGGCTGCAGCGTTGTGCACTGTCTCTCTGCCTCCCCAACAGCCAACATTTGTTTAGCAGTGACTCCAGGGCCATCCTGAGACCCTTTAGTTATCCAGCTGAATTTCTATTTGCATCATATGTGATTGATATTTTTATATCTCCTCAGAGGCCAGAGGTCCCTGGAAGGAAGAACCATAAATATTAGTAGACTGTTGGAAACTGAAGGACTTTCATGGCCATTTGATACAATGCCACCTTTTTACAGGTGAGAAAACCCAGAGTCAAGGACATCGTCACTTGCCGGTGAGAATACACAGAGTTAGTGGAAGAACAAACTGAAGGACAAAGCTAAAGGCTTTGAAGACAGGCATCGGAAGCCAGCAGCCCTGACCCTACATTCTCAAGGGCCAGCCTCTCTGCAGCCATCGCCTCCTTCTCCTAATCTTCCCTCTCTCTTGCACTTAGTCTGTGAAATAAAGTGAGGGCTGTTGTATAAACGACAAGGTTAGGGTTGTGTCAACACCGCCAGTGCAATCAGATGACCTAGACTCCAATCACAAGCCTCATACTTTTCCCCTTGGGCATCTTCAAGTCTCAGTTTCCTTGTCTATAAAATAACGATTAAACTGAGCATACAGCTCAGCGTCAGAGCACATGCTTAGCTTGTGCAAGGCCTTGGTTCAATCCCCATGTCCAAAATAATTAAAAATTTAAAATAAAAATAAATGAAAGGTTGGAGTGCCTACCTTTTTTAATCTCCTGCAGGATCAGACCCAGCATGAGTGCAATACTGATCCAAGGGGATGCACAATCCATTTTCGACTATTAAGAAATTAATGATATTGATTTGGCCAACATGAAAAGTACAGGCAAGAACTGTAGGAAAGCTCACAGCGTGCTTGGAGCAGCAGGTAAATACTCCTATGTAGTCACACTACTCACTCCTCAGCATACAGATAGTACCTTTCTTTTTTGTTTTTCAAGAACAAAAGCCACAGAAATCTTTCCTTTCCAGTCAGAATTGAAGACCTCCAGAGCGGGCCCTGCCCTTTGTCAACGCTTCTCCCAGGAAATACTTCAGGGCACTTATCTCTTTTTACAAGCTCAAGGTCAACCACGGGGCTACTCATTATTTCTAATCTCCTTTCCACCTTCCTACAAAAACAGGAACCAATTCATTTCCGTCAGACGCCTGCCTGCTGATTGAGCGACTGGCATTGGCAGCTGCGTCTGAGGGCTCCCATGGGTGTCATGGGGGCCTTGCCAGTTTCCTTCCTCCCTGCATGCACCCCTTGCAGGGGAACATTCAATTTACTGCTTTTTCTTTCCCAGTGGATCATTAAAAGTTTATGTAAAAGTATGGAAAATCACCCCCATTGGAGTTTTCCTTCAGCTCTGCCAAAACAAAACAAAACAGAAGGCTGCCACAGGTCTGACAGGGTGGTAAACCATTCCCAAAAAGCGGGAGAGAGGTGGAGCGTTTCGGAGTCGCCCCAGGCCTTCCTGTGCTCTGGTTGGAACCCTCAACCTCTCCCGAGGACCTTGGAGGAAGCTACGGAAGGCCCTTTCTCTCCTCTCTGAATCTGCAAACAAAATGACTCAGACGGGTCCACGGTGGGGCTCTGCGGACACAGCCGGGTCAAAGGACGCGGACGCGGGATTCGTGCCTGAGAGCAATGACGCCTTGGTAAGGGCACCATCAGAAACGCGTGCCGAGGACCACGGAAGCTTGCCCTCTTCACCCCGGCCGCAGGCGGAGGCAGCCTGGCCTGGTGGCGGCGCAGTCAGCGCTTGTAGTGGAGGCAACCGTGCAAGCGACCGCGTCCTCCATCTGCCCGCGGCTCACCCGGGCCCTGCCCCAGGGCCCATAGAGTTACTGTGCTTCGATCGTTACAGAGCTGGTTGGGGACGCTTTCCGGGGTCCTGGTGTCCTGCACTCAGAACTGCACAACACACCCGAGGAGGTAGGGGCAGGCCTGCGGCAGCACACGGCAGGGAGAGAGCGGGGGTGAACAGACTCCCCGCCGCCGCGGGGATAAGGGAAGTCTTTAACGTCTGCGATTCCTGGGCTGGCTTCTCCCTCCTGCAAATAAGGTATGGGAGGGCTGTCCTCTAGCAAACTCACTTGGCCGGTGCCAGACGTACACAGGCCTTAGGGCTCGCTTGCTTTCCCGCCAGATGGAAACAGAGCTTTCTGATTGGTCCCGTGTCTGCGCAGGCGCCCTGGGTCTCCCGGACTTGAAACAGCCCCGGCTCAGGCGCTACACCAGGCTTTGCCCAGCTCTCTTCTCGGACATCAAGATCACCTGAAGAGCTTATTGGACACTTACACTTCCAGGTCTCACAGCTCTGAGAGACTGGGGAGGTAGACCAGGCACGACCCCCAGAAATGTGAGTTTTTAATAAGTGACCTGGGTGCAGTTGAGGTGCAGGCGCTCACATCATATTCAGGGTTTTCCCTGGGAGGCTGGGGGGTCAGACCAGGGCTTCCTGCACGCTAGGCTCACTCTTGCACCAAGCCACACGCGCCCTGTGATACCTGCTGGGATTTCCCGGCCGTTCGCCAGCTTATCCTGGTGGCCACCCCACCTCACGTCTTACCGGAACCGACCACCTGACGCTGCGAAGCAGGCAAAAAGCGGACTTCTCTCCAGAACGTTTTTTATTTTAATGCAGAGAGACGGGAGGCCAGTTTAGGAAAACACTTTCACCTAAAGGAGAAGGGAAGCTGGAGGCGATGTGGAGCAGCAAACCAGCCAGGGCTCGGGGGTCAGTGGTATTTCTGCCCGTCTGTCCAGAAATCTCCAACTTCCCCTTCTCAGTTCTCCATAAAAGTTCCTCAGGAGCTGGATGTGACGGTGCACACCTGTAATCCCAGCCCTCCGGAGGCCAGGGCAGAAGGATCACAAGATTCAAGGCCACGCTGAGCTATATAGTGAGACCTTGTCTCAAAATAAAGACAAAAACAAATCAATCAGTAGCTCCTCGGGAGGGCTGAGCCCACCCTGAAGCTATCTACCCATCTGTCCTTCTACTTGAGTTATGAATCAAGTCTGGTTTGTTTGGTGTCACCAGTTATTAATTTCTTTTGCGGGTTTTTTTTAGCTTTTACTTTTTTTTTTTTTTCCAAGTACAGGGGATCGAACTCAGAACCTTGGGCTTGAGAGGCAGGCATGGTGCCACTGAGCTAAATCCCTGGCCTAGTTTTTACTTTTTCAATACAAAACATCATGGGTCATTGGAAAGCCCTGGAAAGGTGGTATCTTCCATTCTCAGTTGGATTTGTGATGTTTTGGAGTTTATTGGGCAGAATTTTAAAAGTACATACTCAAAGAACTAGAGCATGGGCCCTGAAGGAAAAAGGTATATCATCACAGGAAAACTATGAAAATAGCCCCTTCTGTGCTGAACAAACCTACGTACCTACTTCAGGTGCAGTCTGCACAGACATAATTCCTGCCTCTGTCCATCAGGGCTCCCAGGGACAGAGGACGGTGACAGTGTTCAGAACATCTGCCCTTTCCCAGACAGAGCCAGGGCCTCCAGCCTGAATCTGGGACTACTTAACAGAGAACCGGGTGGAAGTGATCTGAAGTCACACCCTGGAGAACACGGGGCTGGAACTCACTCTTCTGACTTCATTGTTCATCCTCTTTTGCAGATGGGAAGAGGAGTGGGGAGACAAGGGGACACAAAAAGAATGAAGCTGTGCCATGAGCATGCGCCAGCTCCCCTCGGAGAATATGATGATTTGTACGGCAAGCACAGACAAATAAAAATTTAAAATAATGCCCATACTCTTCTTATACCACACTGCCTCCTCCATTAAGTGTATTAAAATTATTTAGTTCTAAGTGATGAATCCCAAGTGCCAATGCCCTGGATTGATGGATGGAGTGCTCTGTTCACACAGGTCCTGAGATACCAACAGCCACAGTCTCTGAATACGTTAGCTACATCTTCCCAGAATGGTGAATCAAATTCTATAAAAAGCACACTGTCCCAAACAGCCAATAGACACCCTGAAAGTGTGTTGCCCTCAGGAGAAGGGCGCGCTGCAACATGGAACATACCCAGGCAGCTCGCTGGACGCTGCTCTTCAAACTGCAGAGACAGATGGCTTTTCATCCCAGGGCAGTAGTCCAAATTTGTTGTAGATTTGAAGTGACAGAAAATTGTTCCCTCCTGACAGTCATGGGCAGACCGTGCACATGCTCAGTAAATGAGTGCTCCCAGGGGCACACAGCCTATGCAAAAGCCCTGGATGGCCCTGGCTTTTGCCAAGCCACATGGCAGCGCTGGAGGAGACCTGAGGGAAAGATCAGCTTCCTTTACAAACATCCCCGAAGGGACTCCAGGCTTAAGGCAAAACAGATGCGCCTGTGAAGGAGGGAAGACTAGGTCAAAGGCAGCGTTGTACTCTGCCCCACCCCAGCCCCGAATGCAAATCACTGCCTGACTGTGGCTCTGCTTTCTCCAGTTCTCTTTTGTTTTGTTTTGGTTTTGTGGGGGGTTTTTTTGGTACTGGGGATTGAACTTGGGTCCTTGTGCTTTCAAGGCAGGTGGCAGAACCACTGAGGTAAATCCCCAGCCCTCTATTTTGTTTTGTCTCAGAAGCTGTCCAGGCGCGCGCGCACACACACACACACACACCCGTGTCACGGTGACCAGAAGTCTGGTGTTGGACTTCCCTGATGTGAAATCTCAGAATGAGGTGAAATCCTGCAGCTTTGCCACAATTTGTGTCTGACCTTATTCTCCATGCAGCAGTAGCAGAAACACCCACATTTGTTGAGCACTTCATGTACCAGGCCCAGGACCAAGTGCTTCCTTTGGACGTGCAGATGAGGAAATACAGGATTGTAGAAGCTGTTCTTTCCAAGATCACATATCTCACCAGTGGCAGCCCTAGGATAAAAACCAGGTTAGTCTAACTCTGCAATCCAACTCTAAACCCCCACGTTGCACAATCTCCCAGTCAAAGCACCTGTATGAGGTTCATCTGTAAAATGGGTATGCTGACAGGCTGGAGGTTTCGGAAGGTCAGAAGAGATCCCGAAAGCATTGGGAATGTTTTTATGTCTTTGAATTATTGCGGTTGGTTGCCAGAAGTTGTTTACTTTGGAACTTGACTGCTTTTCCTGGGATCTTCAGACTCCCATTTATCCAGGGCCCATCTGCCCTCCCACCTTGAGCTATATACTGCCTGTCCTCGGGAGGTGTTTGCATTTTCAGCCTCTGAACACTATTGCTTTAGTTTGGCCACCCATCACCTCTCGGGGCTGAAAGCTCCAGAGCTAAGGAAAGCAGACACTGGTGACGTGGGAGTGAGCCCTGTTGCTGACGTGAGCAGATGGCCCTGTGAGGAGAGACAAGTGTGGGCTGCCGGAGGCACGGGAGGTCAGGTTCCCCTGCAGGACCAGCTCAAGTCTGTTTCAGCAGAAGTCCAGTCGCTGGGGTTAGGGGCCTGAGGAGCCCCCTGTTGGCCTTTTGGCCTTTTTGGGGGGGGGGGTACTGGGGATCGAACTCAGAACCTTGCGCTTACGCGGCAGGCGGCAAAACCGAGCTAAATTCCCGGCCCTGGCCTCCTTTAATCCTCTAATTTCCGACTCACCACCTTGCTAGAGGTCCTGCAGCTCCTTGGGGAACAACTGAAGAATTCCTGACAGAAGTGTTCCCAAGGGTCTTCTACACCCAGAGACCCTTCACTCCTGAGCCTTCATGAGCTCTGAGGACTCCCAGGCGGGTGCAGCCTCAGGAAGTGGGCGCTCTCGCCTGCACCCCTTTCTTCGAGCTCAGCCCAAGGTCACCCATCTGAGGCAGAGACGCGTTTCCATTTCTTTCCTCTCCGTGGGTGTCCAGCTGAGCACCCAGACCACTTCCGCCCAGTCCTCTGACGCGCGCTTACATCTTCAGCAGGGTGAGTGCACCCGGTCTGCAGCTGGCTTCCTGCCCCCTTGCACCCTGTTCATTCATCGCCACAGACACAGGGGGCGGAGCTCCTCACAGCGCCACTGAACCCACAATCACTACCCTCTGGACTTCGAATAAATCCCCGAGCCCTCCTGAGCACCTGCGAGAGCCTACGACAACTCGCTAAGGTCCTACACGAAGTCTCGCAGCATCCTGTGTGTTCTCTGATGGCGTCTTCACCCACGTTTTCCTCGCTTGTGATGGCCGAGGGCCGTGGTTCTCAAAGTGCAGTCTCTGACTCCCTTCCAGTGGCCTAAGAGGTCAGAACTGCTTCTATCCTAACACCAATGCTGCTTCCTGCCCACTGGCTCACCACAGTTTATCAAGTTTCAGACCACCACGTGATGAGTTTCGCTACTGTTGTAAAGAACTACGAATGTCTGACGCGGCTGTGGAAATATTCTTCCAGCCGCAGAGCCCAGACTCCCTCTGTGTCACAGGCCCGAGGCAGGCAGACGCTGGGCAAGGGGGCTTCTCTGAGACTTGGATATAAACGCTGCCCTGCCGTCGCTAAGCCGGAACTGTGCACAGACAGGCGTGGGAAAACGACGCCGTTTGCGACCTTTCACTTCATCAGGCCTGAAGCCTGATGTCTCAGTTGTGACCAGAGCAGGCAATCGCGTTTGGGGCCTACGTTCATCTTTGTTGGACATCTGTCTTTTGTATTTTAAATTCTTGACCAAAATGTATATGACTGGTGTGTTTTCTTTTAAAATTGTTTTAGGGTGTTATTGATTACTAAAGATGTTTTGGATGGGAAGGGTACAAATGTATGCATATCTCTGCCGAAACACACATCTTCGAAGTCTGAGTCAGCTTTGAGAGGCTCTCCCGGTCCATCTCTCCTGCCCATGCGTCCTGCCCACGGTGGCCTCCTGTCTACCACCCAGTACCTGGGAGTCCCTCGAACAGCTCTTAGCCCATTCTGTCAGATCCCCCTTTGGGGGTTACCTGTCCCTTTACATGACAACACCCCTGGAGGACAAGGGCTTTACACCTTCACATTGCTGTACTCACCTCTCCACTGGGTGAACAATAATGCCTATAGGAAGCCAAGTGCTGCTGATATGGACCATGGGACAGGTGTAAACCACTCTCGGTTCCATTTGGAATCTATCAACCAAATATCAAGTTTCTGCAGAAGTGCAAAGTACAAAAGTAAAGCAATAAGTTATAACACAGTCACTATTCAGCTGACAAAATTAGAATAAAATTCTCAAAAATAATTGCTGAAAGGTTTCTAAATCAAAACCACCCTAAAATAGCATACTGATGTGGGAACATATTTTGGCAGGTCAAGCTTGATTTATACTTGTGAAATTTCATCATATTGCATCAAAGGAATTTTAAAAATTGAATTCATTTTTGCATAAAAATGATTTGAGGCCAATAAATTGCCAGTCGTCTCTCTCCTTGAGGTCAAAATCAATGTCTGGTGCAATCCTAGAGCCCCAGCCACCAAAGATTCCAACTGGCGACATTCCAGGGTCCAATAAGAAGTTTGTCCTCTGGGACGTGAGCAGACACTAAATCAAATATGAAATTTTCCACTTTGCAAAAAGGAAAACATCCAAATAAAATCATTGCAAATAAGTGAACATTTGGAACTGTGATATTTTGCATTTCCTCAAATTCCTAACATCCATGACACCCATCTTGGTGCTTCTCAAACCAAACACTCTCACCCTCCATGTCCCTAACCTTCCTTTCCTAGGTGATGGTCCCACTTCCCTTTCAAGGTCTCCTCCCGCTCTTCCCCACAGCTGCCTCTGCCATCTGACCAGTGTCTCGGTACCACCCTCCCCCTGTAAGAGCAGCGTGAGACGCATCCACATCCTGTGCAAAGTGTCCATTTAAAGTGTAAAGGCAAGGCTTACAGTTCATGCAATAACAAAGTTGTACAGAAATCAATCCTGAGCATTTTTATCACCCCAGAAAGAAACCCTGTATCCCCCAGCAGACTCCTCAGGCCCTCCCCTCTCACACCCAGTTTCCAGCAACCACTGCTCCACTTTCTCTGGACACAGATCTTCGTCTTCTGAACATTCAACCTAATTGGAATTGCACAAAGTCTGGTCTTTTGGAACTGGCCCCTCTCAGAATAGTTTGTAAGGTTTACCCAAGTTGTAGCACGCATCAGTACGTTGTTTTCATTCCTGAACAATGTTCCACTGCACTGATACACATTTTCCTTAACCATTCATCAGTTAATAAGCATTTGGGTTGTATTCACTTTGGGCTGTTATGAACATCTATGTATGAGACTTTGAGACCCAGGGTTTAATTTCTCATGGATTGCAATTGCTAGGTCATATGGTAGCTATGTTTACTCTTTTGATGAACTGACAAACTTTTCCAGAGTGGCTACACCATTTTGTATTTCCACAAGCAACATATGAGGGTTCTGATTTCTCCACATCCTTATCAGTATCTGAGTATTGCCACTTCACTCTAGCTGTGATTCATATTTCCTAATGGCTAATAAGGTGGAGTATCTTTTCCTCTGCTTATTGACCATTTGTATATCTTCTTTGAGGAAATGTCTGTTCAGAGCCTTTGCTCATTTTATAAATGGACTGTCTTGTCTTACAGAGTTGTAAGGTTTCTTCATATATTCTAGCTACAATCCATTTTGTAAAAATTTCCTCCTGGTTTTATAAGCTGTCTTTTCATTTTCTTGGTGTCACATAATTGCCAAATCAAGATCACAAAACTCCTTTTCAAGAGTCTGATAGTTGTAGCTCTTGTTAAGCTCTTATGTTTAAGCTCCTACATTTAGGTTGTAGCTCATACATTAAGCTCTCACATTTTCATCCAATCTGAGTTAATTTCTGTATAATGCTTGGGGGCTGGGATTCCAGTTCATCACTTAATATGTGCCTACCCAGTACCCCAGCACCATTTGTTGAAAAGAATCTTTTCCCACTGAACTGTCTTGCTACCTTTGTTGAAAACCAGTTGCCTATAAATGAAAGGGTTTCTTTTGGGACTCTTGATTTTATTCCACAGAACAATCTGCCTATGCTTCTGCCTGCGTTGCCCTAATTATGAGAGCTTTGTAGTCTGTTTTGGAACTAAGAAGTGAGGGGCCGCTATTTTGTTCCTCTTTTTCAAGAACTTTCTTGTGCATTTTGGGTATCTTGCATTTCCTATGAGTCTTTGGATCTGCTTGTCATTCCTGAAAGGAAGCCAGTTGGGGTTTTTTGTTTTTTTGTTTTTTTGTTTTGGGTACAGGGGATCAAACTCGGTCGGTCCTTGCAATTGAGCAGCAGGTGGCGAAACCACTGAGCTAAATCCTCAGCCCCAGTTGGGGTTTTAATAGGGATTGTATTGAATCTGTAGAACAATTTGGAGGATACTGGCATCTTAACAGTATTAATCTTTCAACTTAATATCTTTCAGTGATATTTTGTAGTTTTCAGCATAGATTTCACATTTTGTTAAAAAATACTCCTAAGTATCTTATTCTTTGGTATATAGTATGAAATGAAATTTAATGTCTTTAAACTGTTCATTGTATGCATACCCAAAAAACTTAGTTTTGTATATGATTTTATATCCTGCAATATTGTTTACTAATTCCAATAGCACTTAGTCAATTCCTTTGGGTTTCCCACGTATAAGACCGTGTCATCTGCAACCCGCCTCACCTCATGGCTTTGCTGTATAAAACATCTTTGAACCGTGGGGTGGGTGGGCAACCCACTTTCTGGTCCCCCTCTCTCTTGGGGAGAAGCTTTCTTTCTCTCAATAATTTTTTCCTACTCTAAAACAAAAAAAAATCATGTCATCTGCAAATATAGATAGTTTTAATTATTTCTTTCCAATACGGAAATCTTTTATTTCATTTTCTTGCCTAATAATTCTGGCCAGAAACTCCAGCAAAATGGTGGAGAAAATGAACATCTTTTTTTTTCTTTACTGGATCTTAGGAAGGGTAAACTTTTTGTCTTTAATTATTAAGTATAATGTTAGCTATTGGTTTTTAATATGTGCCCTTTATGATATGCATGTATGGGAATGACACAATGAAATTCATTAATTTGTACAATATATGCTAATAAAAATAGGTGCCTTTTATTAGTCCAGCCAACTCCCTTTTCATCGTTTCTTGAGTATTTTGATCATAAAGTGAAGTTAAATTTTGTCAAATGCTTTATCTTTTGTCCTTTATGCTACTGATGTGATGTATTACATTAATTGATCATCAGATGTTAAAGCTTGCATTCCTGTAATAAATTCTACTTGATCTTGACGTTGAATATATTTTACGATTGAAAAATTCAGTGAATGTTTAAATTTTTAAAATTTTATTACAGTAAAAGACAGTGCCATGAATCCCCCTGAAAACATTCTCCCTTGCTTCAAATTCACTGATTGCATCATTCTTGCCACTTTCTGAAGCCAATCTGAGTGAGTGTCTTTAGTTTGCCATGGATACCATGAGGTGCAGAATCAATACTAAACATTTACCTTCCGTAGTCATTTTGACTTTGGGAAAGAACCAGAAGTTCATATAGCATTAGAAGTGGTGACTAAGGTGGATGAGGACACAGCGTCACGTTCTTAGGAGCCACCTTTCCAACGGACAGTGCTTGGCAGCAGCAGTCACCATATTTTTATTATACTTCATAAAGGGGACTCCAGAACTGCCTCAGAAAGCATCAAGATTAATGGAGTAAATACGTTCAAATTGAGGAGTATTTTGAAGAAGATTATGGCAATGTGTTTTTACTGTAACATGTTTTAAAAATTTTAAACATTCACTGTATATTTTGATTACACTACATATATGCTGCTGGATTCAGCTTATTAGTGTTTTGTGCAAGATTTTTGGATCTTTACAGGCATTATTGGCCTGTAGTATTTTTGTTGTTGTTATGCCTTTGTGTATGTGTGTGTTAGACAAATACTGGCTTCAGAGAATAAGTAGTAAAGTATTCTTCTTCTGTTTTTCAGAAATTTTTTTAAGATTGATTTTAAGTTTTTTCAATGTTTAGTAAACTTCACCTGTGAAGTCAACTGGGCCTGTGTGTGTGTGTATAGTATGTAGTGAGTAGTGTTTTAATTGTTAATTCATTTTCTTTACTTGTTATATAGTCTATTGAGATTTGTTTCTTTTGAGTCAGTTTGGTAGTTTGTGTCTTTCTAGAAATATTGTCATTTCTTCTAGGTTATTCAATTTGTTGGTATATAGTTGTTCACAATATCACCATACAGTCCTTTCTATGTCTGTAATGCTGGTAGTATTGTCTCCTTTTTCATTTCTAACTTTAGTAATACATTTTTTTCCCTTGGTTAATTTACTTAAAGGCTTGAGAATTTTGTTGGTCTTCTTTAAGAATCAAGTTTTGATTTTGTTGTCTATTATTTTTCCTTTTTCCATTTCATTAATTTCTGTTCCAAAATTTCCTTCTTTACACTTGATTTGGGTTTAGTTTTATTTTCCTTCTTAAATTGGAAAATTAAGTTATTGATTTGAAATCTTTCATTTTTATATAGCTATTACACATAGATAAAAATTCTCCTCTAAGTTATGTTTAACTGTAGAACATAAGTTTTTGTGTGTAGGTCTTCACTTTCATTCATTGCATGGTATTTCCTAATCTTCTTGTGATTTCGTCTTTCACTCATTAATTATTTAGATGTATGTTATTTAATTCTGACCTATCCATGAATTTTTCATCATTTCTGTTACTGAATTCATTTCATTCTTTTGTTTTCAAAAGTCACAAGTTGTGTTATTTCAATCCTTGTAAATTTACTGAGGCTGCTTTGTAATCTAACATGTGGTCTATCCTGGAGATTGTTCCCAGTGACTTGAAAAGAATGCATATTCTTTTTGCTGAGCAAAGTGTTCTAAAGATGTCTTTAGCACTAGTTGTTTTTGTTTGTTTTGTTTCTGCAGTAGTGGGAATCAAACCTGGGGAGTGCTCTACCACCCCACACACAATTGCCATCATTTATTTATTTATTTATTTATTTAAAGGTCCTCCCTAAATTTCCCAGACTGATCTTGGACTTGTGATCATCCTGCCTCAGCCTCCAAAGTAGCTTTAATGACAGGTGTGTGCCACCACACCTGGATCTAGATCGTTTATAGTGTTGTTTCTTTTTAAATTTACTAATCTCTGCCTATTGGATCTACCTACAGTAAGTTCCTGACCTGCAAACATTTGAGTTATGAAATTTCACAGGTGCTCTGTATAAGACTTACTTTGTTGTGGTTTATAAAAAAATTTGACTTACAAACAATTCTCCAGGAGTGGTACTAGTTTATAGGTCAGGGACTTATTTATTGAAAGTGGGTGACATATCTCCAGCTATTACTGTTGTATTGTCTCTTCAATCCTAACCTCATATACAGTAGTACCTCGGTTCACAAACGCTTTTGTTTGCAAACAGTTTGGTTCGCGAACAGAAGCATTTGGCAAAATTTTGTTTTTCTTTGCAAACTCTGCATCAGGTAACAAACATGACTGTTACCATCTTTCCCACACAAACACAGTCATGGCCATCTTTTCCAAAATCACAGAACAAATTAAGTTCATGAACCAAGGTACCACTGTATTTGGGGGTTTTAATGTTAGGTACATATATGTTTATAATTGTTATATCTTCTTGATAAATTGAAAAATAGAGATAATGAGGAAGCTTTATTATTATGAAAGTTCTCTTTTTATTTGTAGCCTTTTTTGTTTTTTTTGGTTTTAAGGTCTCTTGCCTCATAGTAGGATAGCCACTCCAGCATTGGGGTATTTTTGTTTTGTTATGTTCTGAGACAGGGTCTTGTCATATGGTTTGAGGCTGAGCTCAAACTTGTGGTAATCCTCCTGTCTCAGCCCCCCAAGGGCTGAGATTACAGGTATGCACCACTATAGCTGGGGTTCAGCTTTTTTAAAAATTATGGCTGTCTATAATATATATTTTTCCTATCCTTTCACTTTAAATCCATTTTTATCTTTGAATCTAAATTGTGACTCCTGCAGACTACATACTGCTAAGTCATATTTTTTATATCTAGTTTGACATCTTTTGATTGGATTAATCTATTCACATTTAATTTTATTATTGATGTAGTTAAATTCCCATCTGCCATTTCACTTTTGTTTTCTTTACTCCTCATACCTTTTTGGTTATTCTTCTCTTTTTCTTTTATATTAAATGTATATATACTGGTGTAACATTTTGTTTCCTTTAGCATTTTACTGTATTTTTATGAGTTATATTTTCTTATGGGTTGTCTAGGGTTTACTATCTACATTGTAATACTCTGGTTTCTCTTCAGATTGTATAAATCTTTCGCCTTTTACATTGTAACTTGCCAATACCTGGGCCAGGTTTATATTAATTTCAGTGATATATAAAATATTATTTCTATATACATCTATTTCTGCTTCCCCTTTTAGTGCTATTATCAGCATACATGTTATATACATACATATTATAAACCAAATAGTACATTGCTATTATCACATAATATAACTGCACGTGCATTTGAGAAGCTAAGGAAAGGTAAGGCTTGCTAAGAGTCTGCCAACATTCTTATCTACCGGTCCTGACTCTTTTCATTTGTTCTGTGGATTCACATTACCACCTGGCATCATTTCCTTATTTAGACAAACTTTTGTCCCTATCGATTTCCACTGTGCTTATACATCACATATGTGTACATTTCCATACATTTTAGGCCTGAAAGTTGAGTTATATACATATTGTTTTTGTTTTATGCAATTGCTTTTTAAATTAGTTAAGAAGAGAAATATACACTCAGGTTGTCTTTGATGGTTGCATAGTTATCTTTGGCAGCTTTTCTGGGTTTTGTTTATTTTTTGTGTGGGTTTTTATTGCTTTCATTTGCCCTTTCCCTTGCCTTTGGCCTTGAAAACTTCCTTTATTGTTCCTAGCAAGGTGGACCTGAGGGGACAAATTCTCTCAATTTTCATGTGTCCAGAAATATATTTATTTTGCTTTCATTTGTGAGAGACAGCTTTGCTGACCAAAGATTCCTGGCTGCCAGTTTGTTTTTCCTTCTGGTGTTCAGTGATTTCTGAGGTGAAGTCAGCATCGGCCCCAGTGGGTTCCTTTATGAACCATGAGTCCTTCTTCTCCCGCAGGTCAAAGTTTCCTTTTGGTCTTTGTATGCCAACACTTGTAACATACTGCCTCTCTGCATTTATTTCTCCTGCTTATAACTCACTGGGCTTCCGAGATGTGATTGATTCCCACAGAATTTGGGGTATTTCCAGCCTTGACTTCCTGTGGTGTTCTTTTCTCCTGTTCTTTCGCTTTCCTCCTCTCCTGGTGTTCCCATTGTGTGTGGGCACATACCACAGTGCTGCACATTTCTGAGGTGCTCTTCACTTTCTCCTCCTCTTCCTTCTCCTCCTCATATTGCAAAGTCTTCATCTGTATCACTACCAACTCACTGACTCTTTCCATCTACTACTGGTCCCTGCTGGTGAATTTTTCATTTCAGGATGTTTTTCAACTGCAGAGATTCCATTTGGTTTTTAAAATTCTTTACCTCTTCACCTATATTTCCTGATGAGACATTGTCATCATACCTTCCTTTACTTCCTTGAGCATGGTTTCATTAGTTTTTTGAACACATTTATAATGACTGTTTGAAGTTTCAGTTACACTTGACATCTAGATGCCCTCACAGGCAACTCTATTGCATGTTCTTCTAGGTAGGAGTCGAGCTTTGTTCTCTTTCCTCCTCTTCCTCCTCTTTCTCCTCCTTCTGACAAATTATTTTCCAGTAATATACAATAGCAACTCTGAATACTCATTTCTCTCCTAACCTGCAGCTTTTCTTTTTGGCTTTTCTTGTTGGCTTACTGACCTGGTACATGACTTCCATGAGCTCAAATCCCAGCGCTCCACCGGTGCAGTGTGAAGCCGCTGGCCTACACAGTCACCCTGGGGGACACTGGCTCTAGCAGGCCTTTGTCCCTTTCCCTGCTCTGTTTAGTGGTCCCTCTTGATTACATCACACCCAGCTGTTCATCTCTCCTGATGGCTTTGCTGATTGTTCTCTTCTTTCCAACAATTCTCTGGCATATAGGTTGCTCCACAATTTGATTTAATTAAATTCAAGCAGGGTATTTTTTAGGCCAGTCTTTGAGGGTTCATTTTTAATTTTATTTCCTCACTGCAGGAATGCTGTTAGTCGAGCTCTCTTCTTTAGGTTCTCTCTAGTAACTCAGCTGGCCTCTGATTTAACTGGTCACTTTCCTGGAGCCACCAGACCCTTTTAAGCTTCTTACTACCAAACTGCCATTGTTTTAGAGGTAACTCTTGGGTCTGAACACCCCTCACTTCTTCAAATAAAGTCAGTGTCTTTGGGGGAGAACACCATTCTATTCTTCTGGGCCACTTCCTTACCCTGGGCAACCGAGGGCACTGGATGTACCTGGCCCGCTTCTCCTGCTTCGTGAGCAGGGACTCGAGTAGGGGAGAAGCTGTGTCCTGTGCCTGGGGGCTGATCGACTCCCAGTAAACAGTAAGCTCTGTGAAATGAGACTGAGGGGACTAGAAACACCACTGGCGGTTCCTCCTGGGAGACACGGGGTCCCCTGACCAAGAACCCAGAGGGACGGGACCACCTCATGTTTGGCTACATCTGCCTGGAATGGAGCTTCCATCGAAGCCAGAGTTCAAGTGTCACGGACTCTTGTTATTCTTGCATATTTAGTAGGCACTGTTGAATAAATGTTTCTTCATTTGCTGCACACTCTTGGAGCAAATACCAGAGAGTTTAAACAGCTGTCACCAGTGATGGTTGTTTCACTGGGGAATGAACCTATGAGTCTCCTCGCTTTCCCTAGAGGGCTCAGCCCTTCTTAGAAACTGAATTACAAAGGTTAACACTACAGTTGCTAATTTTTGTTTTAATTTTCACTGCTTCGCTTTTAAGTCATAATAATTGACATTAAGATAGCATGACAAGGCTTTTTCTGATGAAGCAGAATTGACTGCCCTCAAACAAATTGATACACAGATCTGAAAACAGAAAAGGGAGCCAGGCAGGTGCAAAATGTATTTTACGATTTGTGAAGATAAGAATACATAACTATTTCCTTTTTGTTTTTAAAATGCAGTCACCAAAACTCAAGGTGAATTTATATTTCGTAATGGAAAACAGCATGTAGGTATCAGCTACTCAGCAAGGACACACACATTTTTATTTTTATTCTGCTGTGTTTGGATGCGGGAACTCCTCATGGATCAAATTTGACTTTCTGCATCAGCCACCCAAAGGATCTTGTTTTCAACTCTGCTTCATCCACTGGAACCACTTTTGGTAGGGTGCATATAAGTTAGTAAAAACAGTTAACTAATTATTGCGATAAGGCTAATGTTTATTGACTGCTCCACCAGTCCCTCTGAAAACTTTCAGAAGTGGTATTTCAGTTAGAGCTAACAATACTCTGATGCAATGCAGATGATCATTTCCATCCTACAGACAGAGAGTGCAGTCCTCAGGCTAAGTCACGGCCCATGTCACACAGCTCTTCAGCCAGCGGGAGAGTTGAAAACTGAACCCAGGAAGTCTGGTTTCTCTGTGCTTTGCTAACATACAACATTGCAGCTTCCTTATCAAAGTGTATGCAGCAATCTCAGACTGATGCTTAAGAAATATTCTTGGGTGGTTTTTGTTTGTTTGTTTTGAGGCACGGTCTCACTATGCACTTCAGGCTGGCCTTTAACTCACTATATAGCCCAGATTGGCCTCAAACTCATGGTGATCCTCCTGTCTCAGGCGCCTCCCTAGTGCCACCATGCCTGGCTCTTTAGGAAATATTCTTTTAAGAGAATTACTCATTTACTCATTCAACAAACATACAGACTACCTACTATATCCATTACACTCAATTGTTTAAGCATGGAAAGCAAATACTAACCTTTTCGGAGAAAAGGACAGAATGGAGAATAACTGAATGAGAATCAAAACCCAAGGATAGATTGGTAAGCACGAACACGGAGTGGTGATTGTGGGAAAGATCACAACATTTCAACAACCTCTCACATGCCACATACCGAGCTAATGCCGATGTGCTTTACTTAAGTCATTTCATTTCCTCCCCACAAATGCCACAAGGTAAGTGACTGAGAGCGCAGGTTCTGAAGCCAGCCTTGGAGATCTGAGATCCATTTTATCACTGACTGGCTGAGCAAATCCAAATGTTTAACATCCTGAGCTTCAGTCTGTCCATCTGGAGACTGGAGAGAATCATGGTACATTCTGCAGCAGGAAGGAAGACCAGCTTCTGCTGCAAGCCAAGGAACGCCTGACACATGGCTCAGTAGAGGAGGGCTGGCGCTTTGTCCCTACTCCAGAGGCCCGAGAAGCTGACTGGGGACGTCGGCGCGGCACTTCAGACATGTCAGGCATGACGGACCCGTGATTGCTGCCGCCTCCGCCTCAGGAGCACAAGACAGGTGCTGCACCTCGGGATGTCACTCACATGAGGAGCCAAAAGGGTGCCCTGGGAGGCCCAGGCCGAACCCCTGCAGGTTTCTACTTAGGCCTCCATGGCTGTAACTGCTCTGTATTCAGCCACTTGAGCTGGAGGTAGGGGCACATTCTTACCCACTCAAGACTGGGAGGGATGGGGCACTGCAACAGCGTCGGCACAGGGGTCCCGAAGCTTGGGCGCGTTCTCAACCCAGTCAGGTCCTCATCAAGTGCCAATAAAGGTTTGCTTTTGGTGGCAGTGGTGTGGGGAGCGGTTCTGTTTTTGATGAAGAGGTTAAACAACTCATCCCAAATCACACAGTTTCTACACAACAGAGACAGGATTCAGTGGTGGCTCCGTGGCCTCAAAAACCTAAGCATTAATAAGAATCATTAGGACACCAAGATAGGGGCTTTTCAAAGATTCTGTTCCTCCTGAGTTCCCTTCTAGTCTCTACTTTAGATGCACATAAATTTTTCTTTCATAGATATGACAAGGTATGCCTCAGCTGGTGTCCTCGTAGGAGTCAGTGGAATAAGAAATGAAGAAACAGCCAGCTCTAGCATTCAGTCTTCTGAATCACCAGGCAACCACCTACAATGCAGCAAAAAAAAACACAACTGCATTTAACAGAAAAATAACCATGAAGCTCGCTGGTTCCATTAAGCATGGAAACCAAATACTGACCTTTTAGGATAATAGTTGGCTCCTCTCAGAATGGAAAAATAACTGCCTGAGAATCAAAACCTGATGTGTGAACTGTCCCCTGAAAGCAAGATACTCACAAGATGTTAGAAGCTTTCACCAGGAAAAGGCATCTCTATTTTTCACTTAAAACTCAGCCTTGTTGGTTAAAACCACAACACTTAGAGGATGGTGCCCTCTGCCCCACTGCTGCATGAGAGGACTTACTTAGGTCCATATTTGCAAGGTGTAGGGAACACGGGAGGTCTGGTGATTTCACATGGAAGGCTCTGTGCATGGGATTACTGTGTACAGAGGTGTCTGTCTGCAGAGCGGATTGTTAATCAGTGCCAGGACAAGACTGGATTTCATTAATAGAAACGCAGAACACATGGTTCCAAGTCTGTTTGCTCAACCATAAAATAAGCAGAATATTACTGACTTTATTTTCTCCCAGAGGGTGAAAGAGTAGAAGATCCACAAAGACATAAGCAGCGCCTATAAAGCACTGATGGCATGGTTACTAGACTCAGGAAGGGCAAGGGTTATCAACTTTCACCTCACCAGGCAGGCAGTTATAACACCAACCAACCAACCAACCCACCCACCCACCCCCGGCACCATCGTCAGCATCAGCCACCCACCACCACCATCATTCAGAAAAGGACATTCTACACCAAGTAAGCAGATGGACGTGCCGATTCTCAGAGTAAAAGGCAATACTCAGGTGCAGTGAGTTTCATCGAAGTCACACTCCCTAGTCCTGTTTTTTCATGTTGGACATGGAGAGGTTAACATTTGGGAATCACAGGGTGAGTCTTGGCATTGTTCATCCTTTTCTAGATCCATTTTTGGGGCATTGGATTTCAAGGTCAAGAAAGGTCTCTGGTACAGGATTATAGGCAAGACCCCCAAATTTCAAGACTCATGCAATTAAAAATCTTCACTAAAAATTTTTGGAGCATATTTGCAACTGAAGGAGAGGACATGACAGGCTTCCCCTCCTCACCATAGAGTCTTCCCGGAAGTATCTCATTAGGTAAGGTTGACTTCCGATCACTGCTACTTATGTATGCATTCTAACTTGACTACCAGGACAGCCTTACATCTCCTCGCAAGCTCTGATTATTGTGGGGTCTGAAACCAGCAGCCAATCGTGGTGGACCTTGTTCTAGCGAGTTTGGGGGGAAATGGATCTGTTCAAAGAGGTAAGGATAAAAGCAACTTATAGTAAGTTGAAAACTTTCACATTCACATATCTAACACTAGGTCTTGTACATATGTTCATATGTTCCGAGTACATGCAGATGGTCTGAGGGTGAAATACACCTTTTAGAAAATTCAAATAAAATCAATCAAGGCTGTTTACATTTAAAACTAAAATGACTTTAAACCCAGACTTCCCTGTGTACTTGCTACACAGTGATAACACATAGTCCCAGGAGTTTGGCAGCACCAGGACACTGAGACAATCTCACCAATTTCCACTTTCTCAGAGGTATCAGCACTGGCGAGGCTGGGTGGTTGTTTAAGTCATGGGGCTGGGACACAGTCCTAGAACCCCAGAGCTGTTGTCCAGAACCGTGATCACTCTGCAATATTATATACTCTTCAAATGATAAAGGCACCTTCTGTTCTCATATTGAAGTTCATAAAAACCAAGTCCCTGTTAAGTACAAAACAGTGACTCATTTAGCAGTGGGGCTAAATGGTTAAGGGACAATAAGAATCATAAACAGGATAACAACATGACCTGTGTCCTCGGTGACTCAGAATCAAATGGGAAAGGCTGTTCCACACCCAAGGAACATGTTTTGGGGTAAAAGTTTATCTTGAGAAATAACAAAAAATTTTAACCTTTTTGAGTCATCTAATTTGCTGAGCCGTTTCCTCTTCCTCTCTTCTGTCCATGATATCTAGCAGGTGTGTGACACAGACTAGCCGGGACAGGCAACCAGGTGTCCCTGGTGGGGTGGGAAGCACTCTGGTGGCGGCTTCTCACTTGATGCCTGCGAGCAGGAAGATGAAGTAAGATGTCTTACGCAGTGCTTCTTCGTGCAAAGCCGGGCACGCCAGCCTGGACACTGGAATACCAACGGACCGTGGGCATACCGGTCCACGTAAGAATGCCACTTAAGTGAATGTGCCTCAGCGTTCTTCTGGCCAATGTTCCACATAAGTATCACCATAGCAACAGAAGGACGCCGTACACCTGAAGACTGTGGTGAGCACAAAGCAAAAGGGACCGAAAGCATTCTGACTGGTGTGACCCTTGAGGTCGGGGACTCTCTGTGTTTTAATGGCTGTTTTATCATAGTCCTAGAACATGGAGAAACAGTGAAGGGTTCAAAAATACTGTGCGAGTAAAAGGAAGAAAGGGAGGAAGCGGAGGGAAGCAGAGAGAAAGCAGATATTAGACAGGGAGGAAACAGCGAGTAGTTGGCCAGAACCTGAAAACCTAGGTGGGCGCAGAGGAAGGCGAGCTGGTCCAGGTGGAGGCTGCTGCCTACCTCACCCCAGCCCCGCCTTGGCAACGGCCCTGCACTCTGTGCACCGAGCTTCCCCAGGGGGCACTATTCACACACTCTCCAGCAGCCCCCTGCAGGAGAAAGGCCAGAACACTCACTGCACAGTGGTGATGTCTTGAAAAGATAGTTGCAGGTCACTAATTCTGATTAATGGGGCTGGCGGGATTCTTCTTCCAGCAGGTAGTTTAGGTGGCCTTAGTGGAAGAAAGAGGAGGTAATGTGCTCTGCTAGAAATGGCATATCATTAAAATGTTGACCCTTCTGCTTGCTTAGCTGTGCAATCCCAAGTTCCCTAAGCACAAAAAAAGTGTTTTTCTTGTTCATGAATATAGCTGGTACCTACACAGAGAACATAGTTAACTGTAACACTTCACTGTTCCATCACCTATAAACATGGGTACTGCATCCGCCTCACATGGTACAGTGGGTATGGAACAGGAGATGCACATAAAGGGTAGAGCAGAGAGCAGGCACATGGCAGATGCTTAACTATTCAAATAACAAGCTTTCATTCTGGATGGAAACCTGCTCTCCGATTTTCAGTGATGCAGCTGAGTAATCTTGTGTCTCATCAGCTGAGAGACTACTGAGTCTGGAGAGAACACAGCAGGCCCACCAGCTGCTCACCCATCACGAGGGCTCCACGGAGAAGGAAGGCGTTTACGACTGTCTGGTCACACTGGCATTTGTAAGCAGTGGCCAGAGATGAGAATTTCCAGGAACGTGTGGGACAGCCCTGCACAAGTCATCCAACACGCCCGGTCACGCTGTGCTCTGAGGTGACGCTGTCCCCTGGCTTCCAGCCACCTTTCACTGTACCACCACATGCACAACTGTGAGGCAGTTTGGAAAGTACTGGCAAAGGAAATCTCATTTGCCTCCATTTTGTTGTGCCATCCAAGGGAAAAAACAAATATCAAGCCTCCTTACATTATAAAATGTCAACTTTTCATGAATTCATAGAGAGCTAGTGAAATAGTAAATCAAACAATATATGGCACTCTAAGAAGAAGATCCATGAAAACATTAATAATTTTATCATGTCACAGAAGCAATGAGGACATTTTTCTGAAGAAAATTCAATGAAAACAACTTTGAAGAACTCCTATTTTTCATACTTTCATTTGCCTCTTCCTGGCCCTGTGCCTCACACAGTAAGCATCTGTGCTCTTAAGATTTTAGTCTCCTTGCTATCTACAGTCCTGCATATCTCTAGCTTGAAAATCTGTTTATTCTTTGGCAAAAGTGAAGACAGAAAAAGCAATGATATCAGAGTAGGGCATTGGAGAAAAGGGTAATCAACAGGTCACAGGCACAAGGTCAAAGATCCAGGGTGTTCATATTCTCCAAGAACCATGCAAGAGACAGAAGGAGACCAGACTCAAACCTCTTCTACATCTAGCATTTGTCTACATTGCTGCTAAAGTTCTCAGCTGAATAGTGTCACACAATAGGTGAGGGATTTCACAACATCAAGAAGCTGGTGACATAGGTGTCTCCTTCCACCTGAAGTTTCTAAGTGTTCAGTCGGATGAACTCACAGATTAGTATTATCTGGTTTTAACTGTGTCAGACATCACAAAATAGATATCTGTCTTTCAAAGATTCCTACAAGGAAGCACCAGATGGAAGACATTTCTAATTATGCAAACACAAGCAAATAACTGAAAAAGAGTTAAATTAACCTCATCTCATAGCATGACTCTTCTAAAGCTATAGCAAAAGATGAAAACATGATGACAATGGCCAAAGTCAGAGCTCCTAAGCAGAACTTACTGTCATGACAGAAATGTTCTATGTTGGTGGTTGTCCAACATGGTGGCCACAAGATACGTGTTGAACACTTGAAATATAGCCAAGTGCAACTGAGGAGCTAAATGTTTATTTTTTTAGGTGTAATTAAATTGTTATAGAGCTGGAGGTTTAGTTTAGTGGCACTGTGCCTGTCTCGCAAGCACAAGGTCCTGAGTTCTATCCCTGATACCAGGAAAAAAAAAAAAAATAAATAAATAAAGTGTTACAGCCACATATGGCTAATGGCTACCAGACTGGACGACGCATGTTTAAAAGAGATGGTCGGGGTCCTGGCTGTGAATGCAGATACTACTGGATACAAGCTGTGTGCCCTCTGGCTTTATTCTTCTGTGCTTGGATCTTCACACAAGCCTAATGGCTATCTCATATGAGTGTTGTTAGCATTAAATTAGGAACAAACTAAAAGTGCTTAGACATTGCCTAATCAAATCTGCAGTCAAATGCTCTACCACTGAGCTATACCCCCAAATTTTGTTTTTTGTTTCGGTACCGGGGATCAAACTCGGGTCCTTGCGCTTACAAGCCAAGTGGCGGAACCACTGAGCTAAATCCCCGGCTCTGCCTAATCAAATCTGAGGAAAAGGAATACATTATTAGAATAATCTGAAATATTGACAAACTCTTGTTACTAATAAACCTTGAACAAAGTTTATGTTGGGTCTTAATAAATACATAATAAATGCATATTGAGGCCATTCTCTGAAGTGAAATAAATAGGACACACATGTGTAAATACCAAATAGTTTCTCTAGTGTGAGAAACTGAAACTGTAATTAAGGATACACAAGGATGAAATGGCCTAATAACATATTTCTCGGATTGTGTTTCCATCGTGTGTCATATGACTGTATCAAAATTTAAATTAGGGAGAAGTGTGGCTTATGTGGAGTCTGCTAGCGAATGGGAGTTTTTTCCAGACCACTATTTGTTCAATGTTGGTTTTGGGGATCTTTCTGAAACAAATCACATCCTCTGGTGTCTTGTTGGTGCTTGAGATGCTTTTCTAAGTTATACGGAAAAATGTTTAAGTGCTTTTCAGTTTTGTTTTGGTTGAGTTCTACTGTATTTGAATATTATTGTAGTTTTTATCCCCTTGCAATGCTCTTCTTTGAGTGGTTTAATTTTTTGTATGTGTATGTGATAATAAAGTTATTTAATAAAATTTAAAATGAATAAATACGTAGTTAGCATGAAGCGGTCACAAGCTATAGGATATTTAGAAATAATTCTGTTCATCTTTTTAAATTTGTTTTTTCCTTTGGTGTTTTTATTTTGGGCGGGGGGGACTGGGGATCGAAATCGGGTTCTTGCACTTGAGCAGCAGGCAGCAAAACCACTGAGCTAAATCCCCAACCCTGCTTTGTTGTTTTGAGACAAAGTCTCAGTACAACTCTCAGGCTGGCCTTGAACTCACTACATAGTCCAGGCTGGCCTCAAATTGGCGGTGATCTTCCTGCTCAGCCTCCCAAGTGCTGGGAAATTTTGTTCATCTTTGTTTTATCCTTTATCATGTACATTTTATTTATTTTTTTCTTATATACATTTTATAACAAACTTCTATGTATTTCAGGCACAGGCTCCATTTATAATGGAATTAACAACCAAACATGTTCATTCCAACAATGGAATGAACAACCAAAAATGTAGATCACTGGAATAAACCGACAGAAGTTTGTTTCAACAAGAAACAGTGCTGAGGACCAGGGATTTAGCTCAGTGGTTCTGCTGCCTGTGGAGCAAGGTCCCAAGTTTGATATCTAGTATACCAAAAAAAAAAAAAAACAAAGAAAAGAAACAGTGCTGAGCAGAGAGCATTCAGTTATAGTGTGTCACAAAGATAATTACTGAGTTTGAAAAAACATTGGCACATGGCACACTGGTTACACAGAAAATTTAAAAGTCACCATATAATTCTCTAGTGTGATGAAGAGATATCAGTAGTTATGTCATTTTATGAAACAATAAATTTGTTTTAAGGCCTGATAATTAACACATTTTCTAGAATAAAGTACCACATAACTGTTGAAAAAACCCATTATGGCCACCATTCCACCCTCCTAGGGCAGAGAAGGTGAGCCATGCAGGTGTCAGAAGCACCCCCCACCCTGTGGAAATGAGAAGACATGTAAACAAGCCTCAAAAACAGACTTCCAGATCACCTATAGCAACGCCAAAGGGAAACAAGATGGAACAATCTGATACTCAACCACCTGGACTCTCTCAACTGGCAACAAAAGAGGATCTGGAAAAAATGAAATCAGAAATAATTTCTCAGATAATAGCAAAGATTGTGCTCACAGTGC